ATTTTATTGTATATATTAATTAGGAAAAGTTCACAAAAAATAGGTAGTTTTGGGGAGGGATCAATGAAATTTCAAAATTTCAATTGAAAATAAAATGTATATATATGGGGCATGCTGCAACAAAACCAGACAAAGTGAACATTATAATTAGTATTTATTACCAAGAATTTCAGGGATCAAAATTTAGTCATTTGTAATGTGATCATAATTAACAGTTTTATAATATCCCATTTGTTATCTTAAATGATATATAGAATTATCTCTATATAAAAATAGTTAATATGAAACTTATTTATATCAGATCTACTATGGAACCCAAGAATTATAGCACCATTAGAAGTATTTTGAAGAAAGAACAGGGTGAAAAAATTGCTCCTTACATACTTGTGAAATTTACCAAGAAGAAAAATAATAGATGTTGGAAAAAGAAAACATTATGATGATGCATTATCACTTAATAAAAAGCAGTAACATTTGGAAGAAAAATAATCTTATTATTACAATTTTATCTATTGTTTCCAACTATATTTATTTGGTGTTTTTTTTGATATTTTCTTTTGGATCTAAAACTCAGTGAATATATTTTTGGTAACTTTAATGATCACAATATTACTATGTAGAAAAGTTTTACAAAAATCATGTAGATAATGGCTATATATATTGATTGATTGAATCTGAAAGATTATTTATTAATTAGGAAGCAGAAAGTTTAATATTATTATGTAACAAAATTAATTGTACAAATTTGTATGATTAACCATTTGATAGTGTCAAATTGATATCAATTTTTGAAATAAAAAATTATTAAATTCATTAGGAAAAAAAAAATGAAAATCATTTTGATTGTAAAAATACTACAGTGCAAATCACTTAGTCCCACAACTTTTTATTGGTCGTGTAGATTTTCAAATTCTCCAAAAATGGAAATGCAACACCCAAAAATAAATCGTGTATTTGAAGCCAAGACCTTCCTCTGCAAAATCACGATTTCATCTCATTGGTATGTCATGTTGTTGTGGAGAATTTGAGCTTCAAAGTTGCACAAGTTTACCGAATTTACTATGTTTTAGCCCTGAAATGGCGTGTTACACACAAAAAAGTTAATATCAAAAATAGGCGAATTGAAACAAAATAAAAATAAAATTTTTTTTTATCTTGCTGATCTTTTATCACGTGAATTTCCCAGACATGAATCAAAAACAACAAACAAAAATCATGTGACCATAAAATTTTTATTGCATTTTTGATCGGGAATTTTTCCCAAAATTGGCAGTGTGGCGCAGAAAGTTGTGGGACTAAGTGACTTGCACTATACCAGTTTTTTTTCACATATGCACCTTTTTCTATTTAAAACAATTGTAAATTAATTGTTATACTGCATAAATTATTGAATGTCACATTCGTCACATTGGATCTGCAACAGTGTCCATTATTACTATGCTGATAATTGCATATTGGAATCTGTCAACTGGAGCATGGTAGAATTATCATTTTGTGTTGTGTAACATCAGAAGATCATATTTAATTATTCATTTTAAATATTATCATTTATTACTATATATAAAAGGAAATAATATCAACATCAATTGATTTAATTTTGGAAAAGGTATTATAATTTTTTAATAAAATTACTAATACTTACCTCCAAAAATAATTCATAAAATGTTGTTGAGGAAATGCCACCTGCATTTAGTTCAGCAATTAATCTAAATTCATGCATGTAAAGGTTCATGTTTTGCTAAGTAAACATGGGTTTAATTGATCTATTTACTCAGCATTTAACCTCTTTTAAAATGTACAAGTTTTCCCCCATGTTTACCAAGCTGTATTTTTTCATTTTATTTATCATATTTATCTAATAATAAGAAATAAACAGATGCCCTATAGAAAATTTGCACAGACCTGGACACTTTACCAACACCCACTTTACTGACAAGACACTTCACTGGCACCCACTTTACCAACAGGACACTTTACCAACAGGACATTTTACCAAAAAGACACTTTGCCAACAGGACAATTTACCGACAAGTATTGTGTTAACAATTTGCCAAGGACTGTGTGAAGACCTGGATAACTAGCTAAAAATTTGGTTTTTTACAAC